GGGGGGGGTGTACTTATTTCATCTAATTTATGCTAATTGTAATTTATTTTTGTTTTCTTTTGATTTCAGGTCAGTATATTAATGATCATGACATTTATCCATGAGATATATCCATTTTAATATAAATCCGCAACTTAGAGCAGAAAAATCAGATTTGAAGATGTGTAGTTTCATTTCACTTGTGACTCAATGGTCGTTCAATTTGAAAACATGCAATTCAGATGATTATTTGCTAGAGAACCTCGACTTTTTCCTTGACTTGATTTAAAAATACATAAATGTGACATTTAAAACATGTTTCTTCTATCATTGCAAAATGATTGATAAGACTGCAGTGTGTATGTAAAATAGTCTGTCATTCTATTGATTCTTGATTTCCTTGATCTTAATTTCCTGTTAACATAGCTTCCGCTGTTGACAGAAAAGTATTGCTTCTGTTTTCCCAACTTTCTCTCTCTTTCTCACACACACACACACACATACACCCACCCACATATACATGGAATAGGCCACACAAACAAAGTTCCTAGGCAACGACACTAACCTTTTGAGGGAATTAACTGAGAACGGTGTGACCCTTTGTTAGCTCACATCACATGAGAGGAGTGGGTGTACGGGCTTCATTCTCGCTGCCTTTTCCGTCGCATCAGAGTTTCTGAGCTCTATCATTCGAGGAAGAACATAAACTACCTTTAAAGTGGATTGTACCATTGTTCTCATGCTAATAAACTTTCATAAGAGGTTAGGTTATAGTACTCCTCCTATTGTTCAGACTAGAGCTTTGCATATGTTTGTTTGTTGGTTTTAAATATGTGGCTAGTTTTCTGTGTTCACAGACACACGCAGAGTCACTGTTATGAAACTTTTACTTCTGCGACTATTATTAGTTGCTAAAAAATAGACATAGACTTGCTTTAAATAGGTCACCCATTTCTTCTCCATCAAAGCTGTTTGCCTTGTGTTAAAAAGTTTGAAGACACCTTAATGAATGTGCACAGGAAGAAAAACATTAGCCTGGGACTAGCATACTGATGATCTCCCTAGACTGCCTTTTTCTTAATGAGAGTGCTGATCCATTTTCCATTACAGATGAGACCCAGAAGCATGAGGTTTCTATGTAATACACACACACATAAAGAGATAGTGTGTCTCATTTAGCCCCAGGTTCTCGAATCAATGCTATATACTCACTGATAATCTTGTCAGCTGACAGTCAATATGTTTTGAAGGTTGTGCATAGTTGTACTCTTTATTCTTTCAGCAAATAAAATAGTAATATGTGAATATCAAACTCGTTTCTATCAGCTTTCCACTGGTGTCATACACAGAACACAAGATGATTCTTTTCATTGGGAACACAACCTTTATGTTAGTCATGTGACGTCTGAGCAGAGTTGTGTTTTCTGCTAGCATAGTTTTGGTTTCTTGAGTAAGTCGCAGTGACGTCACTATGTAAATGGATGATGTGACGTGCTGTTTTACATAGCCAGGCTGGCATACATAAGTGTCTAAACCAGTGTTTGTATTTTTAATGCATAAATAATAATGCTTACATTTGAAATAAATTATTAATTTTAATAAAACAATAAAAGATGTTTTTGAAAGAAATCTCTTATGCTCACCCAGGCTGCATTTGTTTTGATCAAAAATACAGTAAAAACAGTAATGTGGTGTACAATTATTTACATTTAAAATAACTGTTTTCTATTTGAATATATTTTAGAATGTAATTTATTCCTGTTATGCGAAGCTGAATTTTCAGCATCATTAGTGTTACGAATGAACAAGTAGGCAACAGGCAGCGGGTCCAAATGCAGTTCAAGATCAGTGTTGCCAACTGCTTTCAATTGAAAGTAGCTAAAACTGGTAGCTAAATGTCACTAGATGACATCACAATGGCAAATTCACTGATCTATATAAAGATGAACGTAGATCAGTGGGCAAGATGAGAACTTAGATAAGGTTTGTCCAAGAAGTTGCTATATTTGTCCCTAAACTTTTGAAAAAAGTCTCAAAAGGGGCAGGGAAGTCACTAAATCTAGCTACAAAATAGCTAAATTGGCAACACTGTTCAAGATCCTTTAATGATAATCCACAGAAATAAGCATCCAAAATACATGACAGAACCACAAGGAGATAACACTTATCAACAACTCACACTGACAATAGCAGACAAGGGCTTAATATACTCAAACACAGGACCAAACAGGAAATGGAACACAGCTGAACCAGGTAGACACTAATGAAAACAAAGCATGATGGGAAATGGAGTCCGTGACCAGAACAGGCAGGAACACAAAACAGGAACACCCTCTAAAGCCTCACAGTGGTGCAGGCAACCGGGCGTGACAGTTAGTGTCACATGATCCTTCAGAAATCATTCTAATATGCTGATTCGATGCTCAAGGAACATTTCTTATTATTACAATATAGTTGTGGCAACCATGATACATCTTTTTCATATTTCTTTGGTGAATAGAAAGTTCAAAAGTACAACATTTATTTGAAACTGATTCTATTATTAATATTATGTAACAACTGTAATGTAATGCTTTCCTGCTAAATAAAAGTATTTGTTTCTTTCAAATAAAATCTTACAGACTCTAAACAATATATATGTATGTATATATATATATATATATATATATATATATATATATA